GTTTTATTCAGTGAGTTCTGGATTTGCTCAACACAGTGGAGCCCTGAGGTTTCACCAACAGTGAGACTGGTCCTGGGGTAGGAAGAGGAGGCAGTGTGGGGCCCTCCTAGAGCCCAGACCTTAGGAGGGAGGAACGTGTCAGGAATCACCTGCTGTGTACCAGGGCTCCCCTTCACATGGGACTAGTGGTGTTCTAAGCTTTTAGGGTTTGTTTGTTTGAGACAAGGTCTCCCTGTAGCCCCAGTTGAACTGGAACTTGCCATGTAGCCCAGGCTGGCCTCGATCTCACAGAGATCTGCCCACCTCTGCCTCCTAAGTGCTGAGATTAAAAGCGTGCACCAGTACGTCTGGGATCTTTGGGAGTTTTTTAAGTGTGGTATGTAATGAATATATTTTGTGTTACTCAGCACACAGACACAAAACACATACACACAAACACACACTCATATGCACATACATACATACATTCTCACATCTATAACTAGGGTGGAAGTTGGACACAGGTCCTTCTTCCCATGAGAAATACGTGTTGACATTATATAGAATGAAACAGCCTGTATGTCTAAGCTCAGCTGTAACTCTCTAAGTGAAATTCAAAACCACTCACACCAGTGGAGACTCGGCCATGACATGACTGAGGGAAGTGGTTATAAGTGCAGAGCTTGGGCTCACATAGCCCTTGGGTTCAAGTCCAAAGCTGTGCAGTCTTTGGAGCTTCTGGGCAGGGGTGGGTGGACTGGGGGTGTGTGTGGGGGTGACCTTCCTTTTCTGCCTCATAGTAGTCTCGTGTTGAGGACTGAATGGGATGGCCTGTCTAAGCCATTAACACTGGGCCTGGCATACAGTCAACTCTGAAGAGAGAATTTGCTGTGATTATGTTGGTGGCTATCTTGTGGCTTGTAGTGTCATGGTTGAGACAGGCTGCAGGGCTGGGCCTCCTGGGTTCAGATCACAGATCCAGCTCTTACAACCTGTGTGGCCCCAGGAGCCTTACAGACTTGTGGCCTGCAGCTCTTTACCTAGGGATTAAAATCATTAACAAAGATAAAGCCCTTAAAGAGGAGCCTGGCACACAGTGCTAAGTGAATGATGGATAGCTCTGTCGTCGGCATCTCATGTAAGCCTGTGGGAGTAGTGTTCTCACCCACTGCACAGGACAGTTCTGAGGCTGGAGGTCGAGGCAGCCTGCCACATCTCACAGTGCAGTGGGGGAGTTAGAAGCTCATGTTGGTCTCAATGCAGGGGCTGAGAGAGGCTCGGAGCTCTTCTGTCTGGGAGACAGAGTTGACAGGCGGGCGCACAGGGTCCCCAGCTGGAATTTGTCCAGGCTCTGCTTTGAGAACATTGAGTAGTAGTGCCACCCATTGGTCAATTATCCCTTGACAAATATCTCTCCCACTGTAAGTCTGACACTTTTCATCATCACCCACAGCTGTTCCCTGGGGCGACTGGAGGCAGGGTATCCAGGGATGTGGTATAAGACGCTTTGGGTTGGGGGCAGTGTGTGCAAGAAGTGCCTTCCTTGGACATGCTGGAGCCAGCCTGGTTTGAACTCCACCAGGTAGCGTTGGGGAGGGCGGAACAGCAAGGTAATGTCATCGGACAGTGCTGTCTGGACTCAGTGAAATGCTTGCCGTGCATGAGGACCTGAGTTCTTGGCCCATAACCCATGTAAAGAAAGAGCCAGGTGCATGGTGTCCACTTTTGATCCCAGCACTGAAGAGGTGGAAACAGAGGCTCTCTTGGGGACTTGCTGCCCTGGCAGACTAGTGGAGCCAGTGAGGCCCTGTCTGAAAAAACAAAGTGAGACAGGGTATGGTGATGCACGCACGCCTTTAATCCCAACACTTAAGAGGCAGAGGCAGGTAGATTTCTATGTGTTCGAGGCTAGCCTCATCTACATAGTGAGTTCCAGACTAGCCAGGGTATATAGTAAGCCCCTGTCTCAAAAACAAATCAATAAGAAATAAAGCGAACAGTTCCTGAAGAATAACACCTGAGGTTGTCCTCTGTTTCCATAGCTGCACACATGTGCACCTGCACACGCAAGCTTATGTGCAAAAAGAAGACGAGGAGAAGGAACATGAGGAGGAGGAGGGAGAGGAGGAAAAGGAGGGAGGGGAGGAGGGAGAGGAGGAAAAGGAGGGAGGGGAGGAGGGGGA